TGTTTAAAAGATGCTTTAGTTCCTCACATTTTTATGCAATCATTTTGTTCAACCCACTGAATTAAAGCTGAAAGTCTGAACTTCAAATGCATCTGAATTGTTTTAYTTAAAATTCAKTGTAGTAATGTGTAGAACCAAAATTAGAAAAATGTTGTCTCTGTCCAAATATGGACCTAACTGTACATCCTCAAATTTACAAATGACATAGAAGTACTGGGACTGACCACAGAGGAACTCTTCTGAAACATCAACACAGCATCTTCTGTAAGAAAAGCCCAGCACTACCTTTTCTATTTGATGTTTAGGTTTTGATGGCGTATGTTGGAAGTGAATTAATAGAATTGAAGACTAAAAAAGGAACTGCATATTGAGACTAATAACCAGTGGTGGCTGGTCAATAGAGGGCACTAGGGCGCCGCCCCACCACTATTTTTTGGGACAGAAAAAATATAATAACAAAATAACAAAATAAAATGTTTAGTAGAAATATCTATATATGTTTTAGATGTGTAAAATACATTTTATATAGTTATTAATGGATAAACTTGCATTTTTACTCATGAACGATGTCGTGTTGAGTCACTTCCCGATCACGCCAGGGTGCAGAAATCTTTACCATTGAAGTCTAATGTTAACTCCTGGGCATGCGTAGTAGGTCCTCAATGCAAAAGAATAGAGAGGCTCTGGGCACAGTTAACCTGCACCCAGAACATGGTTTGCATACCGGTAGTGGGTCGACGCCATGTTCAGTAGGGCAGGACGAAGCAAACCAATAAACAAATGGAGGAGCTAACAACTCAGCTAAGTCTCTCATAACAACCTTTTTGATGAGAACAACCCAGGAGAAGCTCAAACCAAAAGAACCTGGACATGATCAGATGGACATGAAGAGCAGCAGACCAAAGACAGAGGGAGAGTTTACACTCCATCATTTTACAAGACCTGGATTAGAAACAAGGCTAAGCTAACCGCTAGTAACGAGGATAATGCTCTGTTTAGCTTTCTGCCTCGTTTTTCAAGCTTCAGGATCTGATCCAGCATGGATTAAAACAGGTAAGAGAAAAGCCAAAATACTTTTGTAATACTTGTTAATTATAGTATAATATATATTATATAATAATGGTGAACACAACTTAAAATAATATTTTTATGTTTTTGACAGAAGATTTTTTTTCTTTCTGTTGCCTTTCATTTTATTTTTATTTTTCTTCTGCTGTGTATAGAGTTTTTGTTTTTTAATGAAATGAATACATCTTAAAACAAAAATATAATAGAGCTGCAGTGGTGCTGTGGCTCTGTGCCAGCTGCTCTTCATGGAGAACAATCTGCAGGACACCTTCAGAGACTGTGACTCTGCTGAAGATTCTCATCACATCTCCTCTGACCACAGCTGAATCTGAGAGGAGCTTCAACACTGAAGAGAATCCAGACTTTCCTCAGGTACAACATCACACCTCACTGCACTGACCATGCTCTATAGGGAACAATCTTGTTAAAACATTCCTGACTTTAACCAGAGTAATGAAGAAATTTGCTTCTCAGTTACAGAAGAGCAAAATGTATGTACAAAAAATAAAACACTACATGACATTGTAATGCTGTTTTGTTATTTTTCATTTGTTTAATAAATACACTGCCGATAAACAACTTTGTACATGTGTGATTACTTTTTGAGATATGTCTATTTTGGAGTTGTAGCCCCCCCGGAGAAAAATCCACCAGCCGCCACTGCTGTCTGATTTAAACCAGCTATGATGAGAAATGAAAACCAATTGCTACATAACAAATAAAAACTTTTGAAAAGCTTACCGGGGGTCCCCTTTGCTCAGATTAGTAATAGCTGGATGCAGAATCGTCTGGTTCCCTTCCATCTCCACCACACATTTTGTTTTTAAGTCTTTCTCTGAAATAAAAAGGAAATGTACATAGCTTTAGTGAAACATATTCTCATTAGTAGGGGTGTAAGAAAATATCGATACACTGAAATAT